GCTTTTTCGTTGGGCAGTGGCCCTATGGCTTCGAGGAACATCGACATCGGCCTGAGCTTAATGAGCAGCCATTTGCATTCCCGAAGCGTAGGTCTCCTTTCCGACCGCACGCGCTACGGACACTAAAGACGCGCGGTCTACCTGTCCGGCGAACGGTATGGAGGGCGCTTGGTAGGAGGTATTGGTGGAAGTACAGATGGAGACGAAAGTTGGAGAATGGAGGAAAAGTACGATAAATGTGTATAATATCTATCTGCTCACAACTGGGAACTGTACATTTCCTTGTCATGGCGGCGTTTTTTGGAACGACATGACAGTGATAGCTTTCTGAACATCGCGTGTTTTCCACTCCTTTGCAATGTCTATTAGCATTGACGCGATTTCCGATGCGCGAGCTGCCATGTCATCGGGCTTGGGCAATTTTTGACCTTTCCTCGGTGCAATGACGATATCCACTCGGTATCCCTTCTCCAGCTCTACACGTGCTTTTGTGATCTTGTGTTTCAAATCACCATTATCGACGCCCCAAGTGATCTGTATCTCCTTCTGCTCTCCTGCCTTTACGCCCTTCCTGAACGCCTTCTTCTGCTCCTTCCACTTCTGGTATGAGTCGCGTCTGTCCACAATCTTTACGATAGGCTCTGGCTCTTCCGTGACCAACTCCACTCGAAAAGTTTTCAGGTCCACAGATTCGAGAACGTCAGATAGACGAGTAGGGGGTTCAAGTTTGCCCGTTTCAGGATGGACGAGGCGGACAACCCGAAAGGGTATTTTGTCATCGCCAGTGCGGCGTGCTGGGCCAGCCGAGGCATATGTCCGCACGAATGAGAAGTTTGGAGACCAGAGAGACTTGAGCACTTCAACTTTGTGGCATGGAGGTAGTATTCGGTGACACGAGAGTTCCAATGTCCGAAATACAGCAGAAGTGAACATAACACCTATGTGTCATAAGTTTTATTAGCGCTGAGATCATGCACGGAGGCACCCAAACGGACCTCACCTGAGCCTCAATGCCGTTTCAGCGTCCAGATTCTAAATCGGTAAATACTAAATGCTTTCAAGATGAGCTAGCGGTTGTTTGTCCCTGTTGAATATTAAAGTCTTTGCACAACAAGAACAAATATACTCGCCTTTTAACCATTTTTTTCTGGTTGATCTCAGTTGATCTCTCATGTACCGATCGATACTGGTGAGTAGGATTTTTTCCCTGCATTTGTTTCATGTGAAAGAATGCATCGACATGATGATACCCTACCTTCCACGAGCGCAGGGACTTACAATCCAGTCCCTTCGTCGCCTAGTAGGTGGGCTCGTATTGAGGCTGCCTGCATATACAGGTGCAGGAGTGGGCGCTTCTGCGCAGTGATACGTGAGGTTATAGTTATTTGATCGATGCTTCTCATTTCTTTATTGATGATGTTAAGCTGTATGCTGACCATTGTTTCCTGCTTTCACAGATGTATACTATGTAACTGTTACTGCCGTTGATCTGTAAATGTTCTGTGCTTTTACCAGGTGGGTGTCATTTTTATCCAATTCAATCGGTAGGATGAATCTTATATCATGGGAGCATGGGGATGTAAAAGCATCCAGTCAATCTTTTGCTCTGTGCTTCCCTTCGTTTTGAGGAGAGGTGCAAATGGGTGAGGGAGAGGCGTTCTATGCCGAGACCTCTATTGCAGTTATAGTTATTTTGACCGTCTTCTCTTTATTGTGACCAAGTTGTTCTACGTGCTAACTACTATTATTTATATGCAGGTTTGAGGCGGTAGTGCTCGATTCACGTATATCGTATGATTGCCATGCGCAGTGTGTACTATATCTCATACATGAGTGACAATATGAATACTAGCAGTGAATCTAAAGCATCAGATGGTGTTCGCAGCAAGAGCTACGGTAGCATGACACTGGGACTTCCTGTAGATGGCCTGGAGGAACACTTTCGCAAGAGAACTCGAGCCAGAGTCGTAAAGAAGGCGAAATACCAAGCAGCAGGCCGAGAGTTCAAGACAACACTAAGTTAACCGCTGCTGGAGGGGATGCAGCAATAACTACCATGTCAGACGAGTAATTCGAGAAGGGCGGGCAATTGCACCTCCTTCAAATGTCAATTCAAGTCCGCATTGTTGACAGGTCAACATTCAAGTTAACACACTGCTAAGATGGCCGAAGCGATTACTACAACAGAATTAAAATTTATTTCTCTTGGACAGCACAGGTTTGAAACCTGCCAAGGCCAAAGAGTTTTTCTATCGAAACACGCTTTGACATTCATTCATAGATGATTTCGTTGGACTCTCATCTCAACTGGTCTTGGTCAAGTGGACACTACTACAGAGTCGAAATCTGGTTCTCTTGGACCGCCCGGGTTCGGAACTCGACGACAAGTTTTTTGTTCTCTTGGAGCACACCTTGATATTCACTCATGGATAATTTCTTCGGAAATTAACCTTGAGTACTGAGTAACTTACTGAGTGTCTAAGTCAAGAGGTTGTCACAACAGAATTCAAATCTGTTTCCCTTGTACCCCACAGGTTCGAAACCTGCCGATGCCTAAGATTTTTTCTATCGAAACATGCCCTGACATTCACTCATAGATGGTTTCATTAGATTTTCATCTCAACTAGTCTTAGTCAAGTGGACACCACAACAGAGTCGAAATCTGGTCCTCTGGGACTGCGCAGGTTTGAAACCTGCTGACAATATGGTTTTTGTTACTATTGGAAAGACTCACCTAAAGATTCACTCATGGGTGGTGTCCTCGGAGAGCCTAACTTGCCTTAGCCAAGTGGTTATCACAACAGAATCAAAATCTATTTCTCTTGGACTGCGCAGGTTTGAAACCTGCCGAGAACAGTTTTTTCTCTCTCTCAGAAACATACTTTGAAGATTCACTTGTGAATAGTTCCTCGGAGGTTCATCTGAACTTCGTCCTGGCCAAATCACCTTGCTTGCAAGGTCATGTACGAAATCTGACGGATTATGTGCCAATAATAAATGTCAATAAATCATCAGCCTATTGTTACATAAACGCAAATGTAGATCAAGTACACTCTAATCTTTCCCACCCAGTGGATCGCACATCCAGCTTCGTCTATCGCTAATCATTGAGGTCAGACACACAGTGGTTGGGCTGGGCCGAGCGTTAGCTCGGTTCGGACGCTGGCGAGATTGCCGCTGGGTGGGCGGGAAAACTCGACAAGCGGGCTGAATGAATGACCATTATGATTGTAGGGATATGAAGTTATGAAGGATAGGAGTGTAATAATAAGATCGGTATGTAATGACAGAGAACAGCTGATATTAAAGTGCGATAAATTGTTCCTGGGTGTGGTGGGTGGGCGAAAATATGATAGCGAGCGAGAATAAAGTGAAATTGAGCGAGCGATTCGTATGGTGCAGTGAATAATAGAAACCGAGGGCAAGGAGCAAAAGCGCTTGCCGCTCTGCTGGACGTGTGGTGCCGGTTCCTTCCGAGCACTCAGTAACCGGCACCTTTCACAAGTCACGGTACTAGTAGTGAATACTTATGTCATCATCAATCACAGTATTTGGGCGAACAACTTAAAGCAAGGTGTATAGTAAATTGTCACGTCACCGCCGATCCCTAGTGATTGCAACAACAGAACCAAAATCTGTTTCTCTTGAACTTTGCAGGTTCGAAACATGCCCATGGCAAGTCTTTTTATTCACAACACACTGTGAAGATTCACTCATGATCAACAAATGCTCGGAAGCTCATCTCAAGGAGTCTTAGCCCAGTGGTTACCAACAAATTCAAAATCTGTTTCTCTTGGACTGCGCAGGTTTCAAACCTGCCGATGACAAATTTTTGTCTATCGGAAATAAGCCTCAAAGATTCACACATGAACAGTTCTTTGAAGGCTAGCCAGGCAGTTATCATAACAGAATCAATATCTGTCGAATCTGTTCTATCAGAATACACCTTGAATATTCGGAGGTACTGGTCTTAGCCAAGTGATAACCACGACAGAATTGAAATCTGTTTCTCTCGGTCTGTGCATGTTCAAAACCTGCCGACAACAAGATATTTTTCTATCGGAACACGCATCTGACAGAGGTTAATCTCAACTAATCTTCAGCCTGTAAGTAGTTATCACAACAGAATCAAAATATGTTTCTCTTGGACTGCAGGACCCATTGACGACAGTTTTTTTCATCAGGAACACGCCTTGAAGATTCACTCATGGACAGTACCTCCGAGGCTATGACATCTCGACTGGTATTAGCTCAGTAACAACCGAAACAGAATCGAAATATGTTTCTCTCGGACTGCGCAGGTTCGAAACCTGCTCATGATAACAGGTTTTTTGCTATCAGAAACATGCCTTGAAGACTCACTCATGACCAGTTCCTCAGAGCCTCGTGTTAACGTTAACTAATCTGAGCCAAGTGATAACCACAACAGAATCGAAATTTGTTTCTCATGAACTGCGCAGGTCCGAAACCTGCCGATGATGACAGGTTTTGTGTCGAGTGCTTCGCAGTCTTGTCGCGTCGAGGTAACCATTCGTCTTCATCGGCACCGAACCCCACCCAACGGACAAGGTACTTCCTGCCTCTGCCAACTTTCTTTTCGTCGATGATCTTCTCGATGAAGTTCTCCATCTGTCCGTCCTCGGTAACAACAGGTCTGGGCCGAGGGAATTCACGTGATGGGAAGAGCGATGCGTCGTTTGCATGGAATGCGCGTAGTTGAGAGGCATGAAACGTAGGGAAGATATTGGGGGAATTCGGAAGATCGAGCGTATATGTTGAGGTTTCCGGGTGCGCCTCAAGGATGGTATAAGGTCCGTCGTACCTAGGCATAAATTTTACAACACGTTTGTCATGCTTTCTACAGAGCATATAACCACAACAGAATCAAAATCTGTTGCTCGTGGACTGCGCAAGTTCGAAACCTGCGAATAACAAGTTTTTTTATTGGAATACGCTTTGTATTAGTACTTCATGATGAATGGTTTTGAAACTGATCTCAACTGATCTTAGCCGAGTGGTTACCTCAACAGAATTGAAATCTGTTTCTCTTGGAGAATGCAGGTCCGAAACCTGCTGATGACATGGTTTTTGTTCTCGAAACACACCTTGACATTCACTCATAGATGGCTCCTCAGAAGGTTCCTTCAACTGGTCCCAGCCAAGTGGTTACCACTACAGGCGAAATCTGTTTATCTTGAAGTTGGTTCGAAACCTGCTGACTACATTTTTTGCGCTGTATAGATCCCTAGAAGAACCAGATTTCGACTTTGTTGTAGAGTCCACTTGATCAACACCAGTTGAGATCACATAGGCCCTCGCCAGGTGTGAAGGTGTAATTCCTTTTCATGGACAGATTATCAGAGGTTTCGATGCAATGACTGGGTGGGCCTAGTTAAGATAAACTTCCTATTGGACTGCTCCGGGTCGATACCTGACGACAACAAGGTTTTTTCTCTCTTGGAGCACACCTTAATATTCACTCATGGATAGCTTCCTCATGGGTTGACCTTAACTGTCTAAGTCAAGAGGTCGCCACAACAGAATCAAAATCTGTATCTCTGGGACTCCACAGGTTCGAAACCTGCCGATACCAAGTTTTTTTTTCTATCGAAACACGCCCTGATATTCACTCATAGATGGTTCAATTGTCCGATTTTCATCTCAACTAGTCTTAGTCAAGTGGACACCACAACAGAGTCGAAATCTGGCCCTCTGGGACTGCGCAGGTTCGAAATCTACAACTTTTTTTCTCTATTGGAACACGCCTCGACATGAGCATTCCACGATCATATGATGAATAGTTTTAAGGCTCATCTCAGCTGGTCTCAGCCGAGTGGTTACCTCAACAGAATTAAAGTCTGTTTCTCTTGGATTGTGCAGGCTCAAAACCTGCTAATGACAAGTTTTTCTATCGGAAAACACCTTGGCATTTACTCATAGATGGTTTCCTCACAGGTTCGTTCAACTGGTCTTGGCCAAGTGGTTACCACAACAGAGCCGGAATCTGTTTCCCTAGGCAGCACCAACTGAACCTTTGCTGGAGGGGACGCGGTGATAACTACGATGTCAGACAAGCAATTCGAGAAGGGCGAGCAATTGCACCTCGTTCAAATGTCAATTCATGGTTGGCAGGTCGAGCGGTCAACCTAGTTAACATTTACTGCTCAGATGGCTGAAGCGATAGCTACAACAGAATTGAAATCTGTTTCTCTTGGACAGCTCAGGTTCGAAACCTACCGATGCCGGGGATTTTTTCTACCGAGACACGCCTTGACAGTCATTCATAGATGGTTTCGTTGGAGGCTCATCTCAACTGGTCTTGGTGAAGTGGGCGCCACAACAGAGTCAAAAACTGGTCCCCTTAGACTGCTCAGGTTCGAAACCTGACGATAATAAGGTTTTGTTCTCTCTTGGAGCACACCTTGATATTCACTCATGGATAGTTTCCTCGGAGGTTGACAAAAACTGGTCCAAGTCAAGAGGTTGCCACAACAGAATCAAAATTCGTTTCTCTTGGACCCCGCAGGTTCGAAACCTACCGAATCTCGATGCCCAGGTTTTTTCTATCGAAACACGCCTTGACATTCACTCGTACATGGTTTTGCCGGACTCTCATCTCAGCTGGTCTTGGTCAAGTGGACATCACAACGGAGTCGAAATCTGGTCCTCTTGAACTACGCAGGTTCAAAACCCGCTGACAATATGGTTTTCTTTTGCTATTAGAACGACATATAGTTAACTTCGTCCTTGAACACTCATGAGGAGTTCCTCGGAGCCTCGTATTCACTGATTATAGTCAAGTGATAACCACCACGGAATCGAAATCTGTCTGTCCTGGACTGCGCGGGTTTGAACCCTGCTATCAGGATGATACTTTTTTTTGCTATCAGAAACACGTCTGGACTTCCAGCTTCGTTCATGGGCAGTTCCTCAGAGACTCGCCTTAAGTATTACTAATCTCAGTCAATTGTACAATTTTGTAATAACCATCGGTAACGGTGCGTGCGCACCAATTCCCTGACTCCCTAAATTTAATTATGGGCACTCGTCATTACTCTGAACGGGTCGCGGATTGGAAGGCTTTCCAGATTCAGTGCTGATGGCACTTCAGATGAAATGACAACAAGCTTGCAATCATACTCATACTGTGCACAAACAGCACACACCCGGAAAAAAACCCTTGACTACAGGGAGCTACATAGTCGGTATAGTACCTGTAGCCCAATGTGTCAAGTCCCTACTACACACAACTACATAGTCATACGGCCAACATGACAAACATGTCGCAGGACTAATCAGCTTACGACTCAACTTCCATTCACTGCCCTGAATATGCCGACACGTTTAGCCAGTAGCTATATACATGCCTTTAGCTCAGCACCTTGCCTCACTACAAACATGGTACTCACGCGCAACGCTCCAGCAAGGCGCTATCGGTCGTGATAGTATGAACATCGGGTACTCCCGCGGATGTTTCGTTGAACTTCATCTCTGTCGAATCATATGACCAAGGTCTCCAGGAAGGTGTGATATCCCCTAGGGTGTATCTGTCGTCAGGAGTCTCAAACATGGCCATAGCCATGAATGAATTCGAGAAAGCAGTGATGAACTGCGAATTATTGTATGGAGGACCATTCCTGAAACAATATACAATCAAAGTAGGAGTTGACTCATTGCTTCAACTTACTCATATGAGGTGAAGTAGTACGCAATATCAGTCCCATGAAAGCCAGGTGGGATTGCAAACTCGCCCTGCGTGTATTGAGTATACATAGTTGCAAGTTGTCTCGAACTCACTTTCCAAGCTCGTTCTCCAAATGCCAAGAGGAGATAATAGGTGGGGCAAACGAATATTGCTAAAACGACCCATGAAATCAGGGGCATTGGTCATCGCTTCAAAAATACACATACATTCACCCATGACAAGATTTGCCTGGTTGACGTTACTTCCGTAATTCTGATACACCGTCACTGCTCCGGCAACCTCAGCAGAACCGAAATTCGGGAAAAGTGTCTTCACATAATCGGCAACATCCAATGTCGTTGATTGGTCGACGAAAATATTCCCCTCATGCGAATTGGTCATAGCAAAGAGGTAGTTCTAAGAGAGAAAGGGTCTCAGTGCGTTTGTGAGGTAAATGCATTCATGGATCGTACGCCATTCAAACGACCTTTCCCTATCGTCACTGTAGGCCTCTCCAAAATGAAAGCGCCATCCACAACAGGGACGAATACAAACGTGCCAAAGAACCCGTTGGCGTTGATGTCATAGTTCAAGGTCTGCAGCGTGTTGACGTCTGCAGCGCGTAAACAAGAGAGGGTATCCGAACTTGAGGTACAGCTGTGAGTCGAGAAATCAGATAGGGAATAGCGGTTTTGCAAAGGATTTACTTTGCTCTACTAACAACTTCACTATACAACATCTGGTAGTGGTATTCAGGACCCTGCGGACATCATCTTCATGAACAAGAATCACCTCCGGAATCGGGTCATTATAGTTGTATTGGGATGGCAAAAACGTAGAACTCGTCATGGCGTTTCTGAAGAGGGGAGGCTGTGTGTTTCCTCCATGAGCAACGAGATGCTGTAGCACTGAACCGGCACCTGGACCAAAGTAGTAAATAAAGACGACGATGACGGAGAGTACCTATAGCAGCTCACCAGCGGACTCTCCCCAAATTGTGACCTTCGTGGGGTCGCCGCCGAAGCTACCTATCTATCCGGGTAAGGCACTTCCTATCAGCTGGGGTACATACACCACACAAGTAAAGAGTTCTGCTCACATAAGTCTGCACCCATTGCAACGCATAATTCTGGTCAACTTAGAATATTAAGCTTAGCTGAATCTGAATCACTGCCAGACCGTGGTAATCACGTACGTAGGCCAGCATTGAGTGCACCCCCTTCCTTGACCGCTTCCCCAGGAAGAAACCCTAATTGGTAGTGTATACACCTTAGTATGCATTTGAAAATAAGAAGAATAGCGAAGCATACCGAATAAACCGAGGCGGTACTGAACTAAGACAGTGATGACACTGTGATTCGATTCCGTAATTAGATTTGCGCCATTGAATTCGCTTGCAGCTCCTTCAATATACCCCCCACCGTGAATCCAAACGACAACTGGTAGCCCTCCTCCCGGAGTGGCCCCCACTCCACTTCCAGGTGTGTATACACTACCGGACGTAACCACCAATCGTAAATGTCAACATCATCGTTCCATGACAGAGCTTACTTCAAGAATAAACAGTCTTCAGATTGACTGATAGCCCTTTTCCTCACAGAGGCGCTTTCAAACGAATTTGTCGAGGAGTTGCCCACAGATGCTTGATTGCATTCGTTTGGTTGCGTGGTAGCTTGCTGAACCCCAGAGACGGCCGATGGAGGCTGCGGAGCTGCCCATCTCAAGTCGCCTATGCGTTGGTGCGTGAGCTGAGATTGCGTACAACAAACAGAACTAAACGCACCAACTGGTGGAGCCGCGTAGCGTATTCCAAGGAAGCTGGTGGTGTTTGTCGTGGTGTCAATTGATCCCTGGTACTGAGCATAACCCAAGTTGACGATGGGTGCAGATACGGTGGCTGCCGGAGAAGACAACGCTTCTAGCGCGAGCAAAACCTGCAACACAGCCAATAGATTGGCTTTAGTAGACAATTTCAATCCCATAGATCGCGCAGTGACAAACATCCTTGACTAGGGTGATGAAGATGGTGCGACCTGATGGACATTATAAACCTCAGTTGCGAGAGCAGGCCCGAGGCGACCGAAATACCTGTACTATTAGTGAAAACGCGAGTGACAGCGATGTGTCACTCACTGGGTGCTTTGAAGTCATTCATCATCTCATGTGGTGACAGATCCATTAATATTTGGATCTTCTATCACTGCTTTCGGGTCAGCATACGCAAGTATACTCCCCTGCGGCCTTGTTCCAGAGCATCCACATCCCCACCTGCAAAAAGTTGCACCCTCTTGTCATTATTATGCACTAGTACTCGATTTCTTGTTTCTTCGAATCTGCAATGGATACACATTTACAGTAAGTTCCTGCCAACATGATGTTCAGAACAATGAATACTTAT